CTGGAACTTCCATCAGGTGGTGTAACCTCGTTCTTAACTCATGTGGGGATCTCCATTGCCTGAGTTCTGTATCCCATAGGTCGTCTATTCGGGATACTCAGAATATAAGTTGGCAGACGATTGGACCATGACGAGAATAAACGAAGAAGAGTCTGAACGGTACCTCGGGGTTCAGGTCTCCTTGTCCTATAGCAGGCTGGCCCAAGATGCAATTCTGGCAGCAAAAGTAGAAGCAAGCGTCAAAAAAAGGCATTTCACGAGTTGAGTTGGCGACTTTCATCGCTTCGCGCCTAATTCACCGTCTACGTGCCTTTTACACTTAGCCTTTCTGAATAACATTTGCCCCCCTGTCTTACAGCGGCTGCTGACACGGAGTTAGTGGGGCTTCTTCGTCGGTTTTTATCATAATCTCACTACCGATGAAAGAGCTTTACAAGATAAATCCCTTTCTTCACTCATGCGATATTGTTGGATTAGGTTTCCGCCCATTGTCCAAGATTCCCCATTGCTGCCTCCCGTAGGAGTCTGGGCGTGTTTCAGTCGCAGTGTGGCTGATCATCCGAAAAGATCAGCTAAGCATCATTGGCTTTGTCAGTCTTTACCTAACCAACTACCTAATATAACAGGTCAGCACCAGACCTATATCTGATGGGGAGAGTCAGCGTTATTGCAACATCAATCTTTGCTCTCATTTGGCACATAGCAGCGGTAATTTTAATTTCTCGGTGTACCTTAAAGAAAGTTTGATCAATGGTAGCAGTGCCAACACACTATCTTTGGAAACCAGGTGGAGAGGAGCAGGAGGGATTCATCACCAAAGTGTCTTGGGACAAAGTCACACAGCCAAGGAAAGAAGGGGGACTCAAGATTTTGGATCCTAAGAAACAGAATATCTCGTTGTTGGGGAAATGATTTTGTAAGGTCTGCATACAAACAGAAAGGCGCATCTAGTTGGAAATTGCCCAATACATAATACAACTGAAATTTCATCTCACAAGGAGGGAGGACATGTGGGTTTGTCTCCAGATGTCCTCCTTTCTAAATCGAAGACCGAAATCTGCAATTGGTATGTGACCCAAATTGAGGAAGGAGTCTCGCCCCAACCCCTTGACGAGAGAGGAAGTTCTTATTGAACCCTTGTTTGATAACTCGGCTATCAGATAGGGCAATGACAGAGTGTTCACTCCGTCCAATTAGAGGGGAGCATTTGGCAGAAGATGGGTGAAAAAAGGAGTGTCGCGTATTCGAGATATTTGGTTAGAAGAACGATCGGAATGGCGGACAGAGAGAAAAGTCAGGTGTGTATTTGGTAGACTGCATGGGGTGGGGGGTAAACTCCAACTGTTGATCAAAGCTATCCCGTTTTTTTTTTTTTTTTTTTTTTAATCGGGATAATTATGCTATTAGATAATAGATAGATAATACAGAATCAGGTGTCGTGGACTTTAATATCACAGCAAAAAACACCCACTAACGCCGATGTAAAACACTCATCAGCGCTCAACCCTTCTGTCCTGCTGCTCAGGCTAAGAGGAGAAAGAACTCCCGAACTGTACTTTTATCCTATGAGGCTCGCCAAAATTCACCGAGTTACCGTTGGAAATGCCGCCGGCGCAGCGTCCAGGAAACCCGAGGACAACAAGCCTACCATACGCCAACTCTAGTCCGCAAAAGAAAATTCACCGAGTTACCGTTGGAAATGCCGCCGGCGCGGCGTCCAGGAAAACCTGAGGAAATAAAGCCTACCATACTACAAGCCAATCTCTTCCAATACACTCAGAAAAAATTAAAAAGTAAAAAGGGTTCCAAAGGAGCTCAAAAAACAAAATATAAAATAAAATAAAACTCTCCAAACAGCATTAATCTCAACCTTTGCTACTCCCACGTGGGGCCGACTTTCGAACCTTTCACTCAGCCCTTCACCGGTGGACCTTCCCTCTTTTCCTCTCCAGATTGTCCCTATGTGTTGGGTTCCCTCCTACCGCACTCTTTCTCTCCGTGGTTCTGAAAAAAAAAACACCCACCCTCCTCCCGGTTTTCGCTTTCTCTCCAGTTTATCAACATTGACACCATGTCTTCATCCAGTCGCGTGTTTCTTTTCTTCATTTTCAAAAGTCCAGCTCTGAACAACTCCTCCGGGTAACCAATCACCTTCATTTCTTTCAGAAAAGTCACCAAACCCCACCACAGTGAGAGTCTGGTATTTGTATTGTCCAGTATCCGACAAACAACATTCGACCCTGTTCCAAAATTTTGGATCAAGGGGGCGTAGGAGTCAAAACTCCGCAAAGTTCGAAAACGACCAACCCTCCCTTCCCAAATGGTTTCCAAGTTCTTGAACTTCTGAAAGCTGTGAATCCAGGCCAGGGAATCTGTAACAATCAACCTGGTTTCTAGATATTCAGCGATGTCATTCCTTGGGTCCGTCCTCTCCAAAATAAGGTCCTTGTGGTAGCAACCCATGATCTTGTCGAGTGTACTTTCAATGCGCTCAACTCCTTCCTTGCCCTTCCTGTCAAACCAGTCTATCAGTAAAAGATCATCAATGAAACGACTGTCATCAATGTATCTTGCACCCTTCCCCAAAGTCACTAAAAATTGTTGTTCAGCATAGATGCATAGAACGTTTGCAAGTGGAGGGCTAGCTCTACCTCCCATTGGGATACCAATGTTTTGCTTCAAGATTTGCGCCAATGAGTAGAACACAGTATTGTCCAACTGAAACTTCGTCAGAGCCAACAGATCCGATAATCTTATCGATTTCCAACTAGCTTCCCCGTGTGATTTGCCAAAAGTGGCCTTTTTCCCTTTCCTCTTTATACGGATCCAATAATGTCCCTTATCGTTGAAAAACCTGATCAGCCAAGCTACTGCCTCCATGATCTGTTCATGGGGTAGTTTTGTAAACATCTCCTTTACATCATAAGTCCTTATGGTAATACCCGCGTCACTTCCGTAAGCAAGATGGGCCGATTCATTTGCTTCTCCGACCTTTTCTTTTAGGTGCTTAGCCCCCATGAGATTAAAGTGCCTTACTCTCAGCCTTCGGATAAGGAAATTCAAACTCTGAGCCAAGTAACCCATGGCGTCCTTTGCGGGATTTAGGAACGATGGCACTATCGGCCTTTTCTTGCACACATCTTTGTCTTTGGACAGGATATATGCCTGCTGTAACCTCCCCCTATTATCCCATTTTGCAATTCGTCCAAGCTTCTCACCAAGATATTGGGTTTTAGCTTCTTTTAATATTACATCCTCAGACATTTCTAACTTTCTATAGTTCACATTGTCATTGTACATCATCTTCATGCCCTCAACGTACAAAGTCGGGCATTCCACAAGAGT